CACAGGGAAATCTGCGACAATCCTATCAGTACTCATTTTTTACCTTGAGTAAAAACAGATCCTAGGCACAGCTTTAATTCCTAAGCACTAAGCACTGCGACATCATCTGGTATACAACCTATGTCACTGGTCTTTCTAAAAGAGTATTTCACACTGCTAGACATTTCAATCATCTAAAATGCCTGTTACACTCCCCCACTCCACTCTGGGGAGGGTAGAAGAGTACAAGCAAGCCCACCTCTAGTATACTTCACTTCCTGTCCCATCACAGAGGCTCCAAAAAAGAGAAAAGAGGGAAAAATCTCAAATGGAAGTGCTTTCGGAGAGCCAAAGTTGAATAATATGACAAAGATGAGTGTCCTATTACCCAATCCAGAACAGTAAAATCTTACTCAAGAAACCAGTTTCAGTCTTCTGTATTGTTTATGATAAAATGTTAATTGGAAGATAGAGCAGATTAAAAATATAAATGTATATTTATTTGCTAATCCTTGTTTGTAGGTCCAAGATCTTGTCTTGAGTATAGGTCTATTGTTGAACGCTGAGTTGTCTTTCATATACCACACCCATCATGCATGACCTATGTTTTCCAGTTCGGGGTTTTTTTGTTTGTTTTTAAAAAATTATTCATTTTAGAGAGAGAAAGCACATGCGTGCACATGTGCAAGCAGGGGGAGGGGAACGGAGAGAGGGAGGGGGAGAGAACCTCCAGCAGACTCCCTGCCGAATGTGGAGCCCAATGCAGGGTTCAATCCCACAAACCCTGGATCATGACCTGAGCCTAAACCAAGAGCCGAACACTTAACCGACTGAGCCACCCAGGCGTCCCTCCAGTTCAGGTTTCTATAAAGAAAAACAAAAACCTGAAAACACTTTATCTATGTGCAGAGTCTTTCTAAACTTTTAAGACTCCCTCTTGATCTTTTGCTTATCCATATAATTGAGCAGTAATTTCTTTTAAAGATTATTTTATTTTATTTATTTGACAGAGAGAGAGAGACAGCTAGAGAGGGAACACAAGCAGGGGGAGTGGGAGAGGGAGAAGCAGGCTCCTGGCCGAGCAGGTAGCCCGATGCGGGGCTCGATCCCAGGACCCTGGGATCATGACCTGAGCCGAAGGCAGACACTTAACGACTGAGCCACCCAGGCCCCCCGAGCAGTAATTTCTTTTAATGACTTGAAATTATTGAGTCATTCCAAAGCATTTAGAATACTTCTCACAAAACCATTCTTTTTGAACTCAAATTTCATGGGCTTACATCATATTTAATTACACCGCATAATTACAAGTATGATGAACATAAACAAATATAGGAATAAAGACAACTGATTCTTTGTAAGTGCGCAACTGGTCGGGAGGCCTCATGGTTGGGGGGTATATGAAACCCAGTAGCTCCCAGAGTAACAACAGCATTCAGTGTACCAAGTTGGTTTAAGTGGAGGTTGGGTAAGAGACTACCTACTATTTTTTTTTTTAATTTATTTATTTTTTTAATCTTATGTTAATCCCCATACATTACATCATTAGTTCTAGATGAAGTGTTCCATGATTCATTGTTCGTGCACAACACCCAGTGCTCCATGCAGAACGTGCCCTCCTCAATACCCACCACCAGGCCAACCCATCCTCCCACCCCCCTCCCCTCTAGAACCCTGTTTGTTTTTCAGAGTCCATCGTCTCTCATGGTTCGTCCACCCCTCCGATTTCCCCCGCTTCATTCCTCCCCTCCCGCTACCTTCTTCTTCTTCTTTTTTTTTTCTTAACATATCTTGCATTATTTGTCTCAGAGGTACAGATCTGAGATTCAACAGTCCTGCACAATTCACAGCGCTTAACAGAGCACATACCCTCCCCAGTGTCTATCACCCAGTCACCCCATCCCTCCCACCCCACCCCCCACTCCAACAACACTCACTTTGTTTCCTGCGATTAAGAATTCCTCATATCAATGAGATCATATGATACATGAAGAGACTACCTACTATTAACAGTCGGTTCAAAGTACTGTAATAAATACATTAGTTATCATGAATGCCCCAAACTTAAAGGTTTTAATTTATCAAAATGTCAATAATAATCAGTAAAACTTTGAAGTGGGGGGATTTTCCTATTTTTTTTTTAAGATTATGTATTTATTTATTTATTTGACAGACAGAGACACAGCGAGAGGGAACACAAGCAGGGGGAGTGGGAGAGGGAGAACCAGGCTCCCCGTGGAGCCTGGAGCATGGAGCCGGATGCAGGGATTGATCCCAGGACTCTGGGATCATGACCTAGGCCGAAGGCAGACGCTTAACGATTGAGCCCCCCAGGCACCCCCCCCCCATTTTCCTATTGATTCTTGTTTATTAACAGGAAAAGCAGCCCGAGGTCTGAAGTAAAGGAAACGCATTCTCTTCATGCTGTTGGGCCTGTTCTTCTGTCTCTTCCTCTAGACTAAGCTCCCTACATATGTCTCCTTTCTAACAGTATCTCAATAAACTGGCTCCATAACCTTGCTGAATATGTTCATACATCCTAACCTGGATCAGTGTTTCAGCTATCACTGCTGGCATATAAATAAAATCTTCTGGGGCTGAAAAAACAGAATGTTACAAGGTTTGATTCCGTCTATTATCTGCTAATATTTTCCATCTCTTTCTCTTTACATTGTATGTATGTTTCCTGACACTGGTAAATCAAATTTATTAACTAGGGTCCCCTTATACTTACACTACTATTATATTCATGCTAATAATATTCTGTAAACTATTCTATCTTGATTAAAGTCATTGGTTCCCATTAAAAAATAAAATTGGATTGAATGTCCTATTGAGTTTGAATTTCACATTCCCACAATGTGTGGCAGCTAATACTTCCAGTTTCTGGCACTTCTATTGAGAACATAAAAGTTCTCCCGGAACTAACAAATTACTTCCCTTCTAACACAATTATGTAATCTGAGAGTTGAACGGCACCCTAGAGATTATTTTGTGGTCCAAAATCCCTCCCAATTAAGGGATCCCATTGAAAAGTACTCAACTTTTTTGGTCAGGGAGGGATGTTTACCTTTAAATCCCACATTATAGAGTGCTACACCCATAGTAGGCTCTTAACACATACTTGTTTAATTGAACTGAACAAGTCTAAAATGGGTGCATTTCATTAATTTTCTTGTTCTTTCTGGGCTTTAGCTGTAACATCCACTGAATCTGTAATTAAAAATTTGCATGAATCTTCTGCTCATTAGCCAATGTTCAAAAAGAAATTCAGCAGAGGAAACTCCACAGTCAAATGTTTTAACATTAAGGCTGTTAATGTCAGTACATAATAAAAGTAACAGAAAACGGAAAATAAAGTCTTAGTTTGCTTATGATCTATGAAGACTTTCCAATTTATCCAAAATACTCACATGTTCTCAATTTCTAGTATGATTTTTTTAACGAATAGTCTTGCATCATTCATACAACTAAATTATACACCCTTCTACTTATAATTGGGGTGCTCACAGACTTAACCACAGTACTGTAGTAAGACATGTTATTATGCTAATTAATTTTCCCTCCAGTTAAAACAGACTGTGATCCCATCTGATTTCCCATAATATGATATGATAATGAAGAGAACAAAGCCTCGGGAGCAGTAAACACCACCGACAATTTTACTTTACTCAAGTATGTATTCCAAAACTACATAATTCACACCATGGCCCCGTTTATTGTATCTGTTTTGGGGACTTTTACAATATATGATAGGACACAAAGTATACATTTCCAAATTCCCTTTCCTCTTGTTTTGCTGAAAGGACACACACACACACACACAGTCCCTCAATAGCACAATTACTGCTTTGCTAATTTTTTTCAGGCAATAAAGTCCCACTTCCTCCTAAATATCTCTGGACAGCAACTCTTGGCAACCCATCTGTCTCTTTCATCACAGCTTCTTTTCATAACTAACGGGTCAAGTTCCTCTCCCCCCATTTCAACACGATGCACTGTACTTGCAGCCCTGCCACGATAGCCCACTGCTGAATGCCAGAATATAGAATATTGAATTTCACTGTCCTTCATTGTTTCCAGTTTAACTGCCATTTTACCACCATGCACAGGAGAGAAACGCTTTCCCACAGGCATCTTATGAATTTCCAAAGCAGCTATTCTTTGTGGATTTACAAAAACGTTTGCCTTCTCTAAATTCCCTTTATCACCACAAAAAAGGCTTTGGGAAGCTGAGATTTTTTTTTTTTTTTTAAGTACCCCATGCAAAAAGAAACTGATTCTAAGCATTTCTATTTTGCTAGCAAATTTAATCCTAAACGCCTTACTATAGGGCAATGTCAGGGCAAAGACCTTAAACACTGCTTTTGGCCTTCCCAATTAAAATGAAATTTTCAAGTCATAAAGATTATATTATCAAATGTCCTTTCTTCTCAGCTACTCCAGAAGGCTACCCAGCGCATTGTAAAATAAATTGGCTTTGGCATTTGTACAACACCCTAAATCTTCCTAACCAACCCCCCTTAGGCTCACAGACACACATAATCCCTCGGCAACCCCCAAACCTGCCAGTGAAGTGGACTATTTCTCTGGCACAAAGGGCCGGCCTGCGCCTCGTGCACGGCGGCCTCTGCACACATGTGTGGGTTGACAAGTGCGGAGCTGCCCTTCCTGGATCCTAAAGCTGGAGGCCTGGCCCGAAAGCCACACACACTTCCCCACCCACCGCCTTCTCTCCGCGGCCACTGTCTCCTATGACAGGCGGCCGGCTCTGAAGCTCCTTGGGCCTGACTCCCGTGCCGTGTGGCCACGCTCGGACCCACTTCCCCTCCGCCCGCCGTCCTTCTTCCTTCCTCCTCTTGTTTGGCTCAAGAAATTCCGTCGGAACTTCATTCGGGCCGAGAGGAGCGGCCCTGCCCGCGGCCCCGGCACACCCTCCCCCAGCGGCCGCGCCCCCCGCGCCTCGGCCGGAGGCGGCCGCAAATTCCGGTGACCCCCGGCCCACCCGGCCGGAGCCTCACCTCCTCCTCGCTCTCACTGCGGAAACACAGGCACGCGGCCCGCTTCTTGTAGCCGTCGCCGTCATAGGTGCGAGTCTGGTTCGACTTGAGCTTCATCATCCTCCGGGCCCGGGTGGGGGTGCGGTGCGGGTCGCGGGAGTGGAGGGTGGGGAGCCCGCTCCAGACGGCGGCGCGCGCGCGCGTCCCCGGCTCGGCCAAGGGAAGCAGGGAGGGGGAGCCGCTTCTCCGCTACACGGCTCGGCCGCTGGCCCGCCACGGCTGCCTCATTCCCCCCGGCCCA